ATAATAAACATAGCAATATCCTATTTTATACAATAAACGGAATTTGGGGTGCCCTGTGTTTGGTTAATGATAATGATCTGTTAGAGTACAAAAGAGTGACAAGCGTCCTACAAAAATTGTTTTGTCACTCTCGACAACTTCAGTGATATTACTTACTAGATAGCACATCAATGCTTCAAAGATAAAAATTGAACTTTCTTGTTCATTGACTAAAATGAAAAGGTACTATTTTGTCATATTTCTGTTCAGTCCTTGATCACAAAAGAACTTTGTATCTTGGTGAGAACATCAAAGAAACAAATGATAATGTTATGCGTGACAGACATCTCATGAAAGACATTGCGTGACATGACAGGACAGCTATAACAGTGACTAAATTCCATTTGGATGCGTCTTTTCTGTGGTAAATCACAGATGACGTAAGAAAAAAAACATAGCACTCAAGGAGCAGCCTAGTGTGTAGCTGATGTTCTTCCCACATTTCGATTTCCTCTGTGATCCTCTTTACGCGTTTCTTGCTGTGTTGCTTTAATCTTAATCATGAAAATTACAATTTCCCTGATAGCGATTGGTTTAAAAGACTCTTATCATATCTCTCAGTTATAAGATCCGTTCGATTCATGAATCCGAGCGGGAAAACCTCGCTCCCTAACTTACAGTACAGACCTCGAACTCGGTTTTTAGGAGGTACCTATTCCCCACTAATTCACTTGCGAATTTGTTATCGAGCAGTTTGTTATCGACCAATCACATCCTTGGTTTTCATCACTATAGAAACAGTGTACAGACTCCTAAAATGGGGCTTTCTTCTTTTCTCGAGAATTGTAATTTTTATGATTCATTGGTGATAGGACTAAGTGGAGTCCAATTCGGTCTGTAATCAAACCAGTGATGACAAAATCGGACGACCACGCACTTTATTATTTACCCTTGTAAAACAAAGTGTTTATGTTGTTGTTACTGTAAAAAAGATAGTAGCCTGCAGAGCTAGCGTAATTCTGGCGAGCGAGTGCTCAGTAATTTCATAACGAAACTTATGGCCGCCATCTTTGATTTTAATGGCAGCGGAAGGCTGGGGAAAAAAACAAATTTGTACCAAGGGGGCGGTCGGTGGGGGAGTGAGTCTTTTCGCCCTTCCCTCGCCCCCTACCCCCACCGTCCACTCTAACTGCAAATCAAACATGGCTGGTCGGATAAACGATCGCGAGCTTATAAAGTTAGCTCGCACTAATAAGACGCCTGCACAGCAGGCTTACAAGATAGGTTCGACTTCGCTGACATCACAAGTCCAGACCGCCGTTATTTGACAGACTTCGGAAAAACGACGAAAGATATAAGACATTTTGTCAAATGATACACTTGACACGACATGAGATGATAGACATAACACGAGTAAGACAACAGAAAACATAAAGTTACACGAAATACTCTTACACACAACGCAGCAATTACCATAAGCGCTACTTACTGGAATTACTTGAGAATGGAAGCCATGATTTGAACCTCGACCACTAAAATAAACAAAATATGCAAGTGCGGAAAAGTTAACTTATCGAATCATTGGCCAGCTGGAGGAGAATTATATTTTAAATAAGGTGGGTTTAGTTTAAACGAACTCGATCGGCTGGCGAATTTAAATTTGGCAATTTTATAGAACAGAGATGTAGATTTTCAACAATGTATGATGATAAAATGTGTTGTCGGATGCGCTTGGTACTTAAAAGTTAAGCCCTCACGAATTAATCCTTTAAATTTTTCCTCTCCTGCATGGAATGAGGCAGAGTCTTATATTTGTATATTTTTTTCTAGCTTGCAGTTGATTTTCTTTTAAATGCTATTTATTAACTATTTTTATTTTTGAATAGGAGGGTTCAAGAAACACCTAATGATTAATTCCCATGATAATTCCATTTAAACGCTTAAGGACTGGCCCCAAGGAAAAACGAATAAAGGGGTAAGTTTCTAAAGAAACTGTGGTGCTGCGTTGGTGGGAGAGTATAGCAGGTAATTTAGTGTTAACAACTGGGTTGAAAACGTAAATTAGCCACCGTAAAGAGTAAAAAAGCTGACGTCTCGAGCGTTAGCCCTTCGTCAGAGCGATTGACGAAGGGCTAACGCTCGAAACGTCAGCTTTTTTACATTTTACGGTGGCTAATTTACATTTTCAACCAGTTGTTAACACTAAATTACCCAAGGGAAAACGTTTGTTTCTTCCTCGAACCCTCAGCGGTTCTACCGGCCTCACCCCCGGGGAAAGTGCAAATCAATGAAAAAAACAAAGCTCACCGTTTCACTCAGAATCAGTCATTACGTTTTTTATATCAAAAGGAAAATGATTGCTTTGTTAGGAATAAAGTCGGCAAGAGTAGAAAGAATTGAAATAAAGCAGACAAGGGAGGCCGCCTTCGCAGTTTTGACTATGTAACCAGGCCATGTTACCAGGATGTATGACCACAGGGAATCTAAGTCACCCACCCCCCCCGCCAGGCAGAGGCCGAACACAATATGCCTCTTTGGCTTCTACCTCTTGTTTAGCTATTTTAGGTCTCCAGGGAATTCCCAGTACACCTCTTGTTAATTGTGTGTACAGATGCTCGTAAAATTGGAAAGCAACAGTCCTAGAGTATTGTCACCTGCCCTGAAATGGGTAAACAAAACATTCAAGCTAAAGGTCTTTCGAGGGGGAGTTAGTGATCGCAAAACCGTCAGATAGCGGAAAAAAAAAAGATGAGTAGTAACCCAGTATCCAATGGATGTAGCTCTCAAATATAATTGTATCGCTATCGCTTCGCACAGCCAAGTCCAACAAATCGACAACCTTGTTCCCAGGGTTCTCTCTCAGGCTCTTCCTTCCTCGAGAAGGCCTCTCGCAAATATTTTAAAGCCCATATTATCCAGAGGCAACGTGTCGTTTCCGCCATTTCTTAAATTCTTGTTCAAGGACTGTATGCTTAAGGAAGTATGGGGCTGTTCTTAAAGCTTACATTATAGTTTGTAAATTTTGTAATTACATATCGCGGCCACTTGGTCCCACTAAGAAATCGTCATATAATATTCGAAACTTAGATAAACATAAATAAACAAACACTGTTTATAAACGAATGAACCAATAAACGAGCAAATAAAAAACAGATAATTCTTACCAGATTTGCCTTTCGTTGCTTCTGCTCTGGAAGCGCCTCGTTCACCAAATGGATGGGATCGGATAGTTCAGCGTGGAAATCATCTCCGCGTGGTCGTCCGATCACACTGTATCGCACAGAGTGTAATCCTTCTCCTTTCACTTCCAAGACGTTATCTCTGAAGTTCGAATGTCTCTCTCCACTACACTGAAGCTTGCCAAGATCTTTCATAAATTTCATCAAGCTAGGGTGGAATGGATCCAAATTCGGCAGACGACAAGCAGAACTAGAGTTTCCAACGTGTTTCACAAATTTCACTCGAGTCTTCGGAAACGTGGATTGAGAGAAACCGAAAAAAAAGCCATAGGCCTCAAAATATAATACAAACACAATTCCACTGGAAACGATGAGTAATATGGAAGCGAAGCGACGACGACGTAATTGCACTCGACGAAAAAGCATTTTAACAAAACAACACGCCTCAGACATCATGTTTAGGATTTGATTATACTCTTTACCGACTCCTGATTACGGCATTTGTTTCAAATTGTAATATGCGCCTCCCGAAGTGAACACGGTATTCGCTCACATGATATGCCAAAGAGTTTAGATATGGCGCTCGCGCTTTCAAACGTGACGGGGTTAGTTGAGCGTCTGTTTGTTGGTAGCGATAACCGCAGTAAAATGGTATGTTAATTCAGTTGACGTGCGTAGCATAGTTTTCCCTTTTATTTGGATGAAGGAAAAATCGTTGAGGAGACAGTTGCTCCATTTCTCGCGCAAACAAGAAAAAAGAACGTTTCAATCACAAATCTGTGGTGCGGATTTTTTTTTTCCGTGCTGGAGCAGCAACAAACCGATAGCAAATATTTATTCGCCAAATGACGGATGTAGTCAGATGACGCAAGCAACTGACACGGAACTATCGTGTACTTTTGCGTCGCTAGAGCGAAAATATTTAAGTCAGTCATTTTAGAAAGAAACTTGTTGCTGCTGATGACTCGCGAAATCTCCTTTATTACATTAGGCGACATGAGACGAACAATAAACGCCTTTGTTTTCATGAGACAAAAGAAGGCAAAATACAGGTAAATGAAGGGGGTAAGTTCTAAAGAACCTGTGGTGCTGCTTCGGTGAGAGAGTATAACAGGTGATTTAGTGTTAACAACTGAGTTGAAAACGTAAATTGACCACCGTAAAGAGTTTAAAGGCTGACGTTTTGAGCGTTAGTCCTTCGTCAGAGCGAATCGCTCTGACGAACGAGCGTTAGTCCTTCATCAGAGCGATTCGCTCTGACGAAGGACTAACGCTCAAAACGTCGGCCTTTAAACTCTTTACAGTGGTCAATTTACGTTTTCAACTCAGTTTTTAACACTAAATTACCAAAATACAGGTACTCTTTCCTAGAGTCAGCCGTGGTAATCCGAGCGAGAAGCGGTAAATAATTCTTTCGCGAATCTCATTATGTGTGGGTTTTTTTTTCCGCTCAAGTGACCAACAGTTCTATTTACGCATACAAATGGTGTTTGGTCGTTGGTATATTGATATGCAAAGAGGTAAAAAAAAAATTTCTTAATCAAACAGCTGTCAACACACGACTCTCGATATATTTGCTCGGTTAGCATAGCTGTCACCCATTTTTTTTTTTTTCACCGAATACGGAAAATTGAGAATCGTTAAAACTTTTTAATTAACTGTCATACTTTCATACCCCGCCCCGCCTCAAATGTTTAAAGACTTGGAGACGAGGCGAGCGTCAGAACAAACAAGACTCAACAGGGGAGATGATGGTAAAAAAAAAAAAAAAGAAAAAAAGATTATCGTGAGGGGTCCGCTGAAAGGAACACCAAAGAATTTTCTGAATGTTAATGGCGGGAAATAACTCAGTCATTGTTGTGTAAAGCACGCCGTTCACTTAACGCATTAGCGGGATTTTACGGTGTCAGCTAGGCATCTAGGGGCTAAAAAGCACTTTGAAAATCCGGGTTTCGCCATAGCTTTGTAAACAGCGAGGGATGGCGTCGCAGTTTTCGTTTTCGGAGGAAGGTTTGACTGTCAATAGCGGCCGGGAACACATTTTCGCTAGTAACTGTTTGAAAAGGAAACTCGAAGCAAACGGTTGTAATGGATTTTCTTCAGTGGGAGACCATGAGTCAGTTGAGCAGGAATATAATCTCAACAGTGAGGTGAGACAATTTTAAAAAAAACTGGAGCAGTAAGATAACTCTGGTTAAAAAACATTTACCTACTGAGTGCAATAAATTGACCCAATACTGCGAACAGGATGTTCGTGATCTCCAGAGTTAACCGTTATTACTAATCCAACATGCAGAGGATAGAAATGATTGTTCACAGAAAGCGTACAGCAGTTTGCCTTTCTTTGAATGGTATGCTTATCCTATTTTCGATTTAATTTTTCTTGTAGAAAAGACAGCGGTTTTCAGCCAACAGCAACGGCCATACGGAGTGTCTCGCGAGCGTCAACAATGACGAAAATAGTAATTGCCAGAGTTTTACTCACAATAGGAACATCATGGGAAATGATTCTCTGCTTCATAATAATGTAGAGTGTGACGCATCGATCGGATGGGAAGAAGTTAAAATGGACTGTGTAAACGAAACAGTTGCTCAAAATCGATCTGCTTGCTGGGAAGAACATGTCACTTCCGCCTGCCCGCCAAATTTGAACAACAACGTTGCTGTTGGAGATGTTTCCGTTGAAATAAGTGGCCGAGAGAGTTCCCCAACGAAAGGATCACCGGCAAGGGAATTTCTACAGACGTTAGTATTATTTTTTTTTTCGGTACACTTGTTTGTCTATAGCTTTATACTGAATTTGTTTGCACCGGTTTAAATTTCATACCAGCTCTTACCTTTCAATTTCATGAAGGTGTCAACCCTCACAACATCACCCCAGTTCACACATATAGGTCATGAGAATGAAGGAAATAATCACCAACTAAACAAGCCCTCGATTGTTACACATTTTCTCCCTGTCAGCACCTTAGGAAATGCATAGGCAACCATATGGAGCATATACATACTGATGTGAGGGTGTTAGGTAATGAGTGACAATTACTCACTGATGTTGATTATGATCTCTGAGTACTTTTCTGTAGGATGTAAGTTAGCTTGCTCGATTTTGTCTTTGAAAACAAGCAAAAAGTATTACATTCTGCTGTATGTTTTTCCTCCAAACTGCTTGAGTGCCTTTGTGGTATAGGAATCTTGCACAAAAATCTGGAAAGATTTGCTTTTTTTCTACAAGAATCATTTAACAACTGGTTCATACGTCAGCGTGCGTTACATGTTCATAGAGATATGAAGCATGTGGGAAGTTTGGAGAGCACAAAAGATGAGTAAAAGTTGCTCAAGGCTTGATCAACTCTAGCTTCTTGAGTGCTCTCCAAACTTCCAAAGTGCTTCATATCTCGATGAATGCACAGCTGATGTATGAACCAATTGTTTTATAACATTTTCAACCTAATGGAAAACTTTTTTTTGTGAGGGATTTGTTTGCTGACGTCATGAACATGCACAATAGGAATATGAAGCACACTTGTGCAATTGAATTTGATTAGACAAATTAACTAGCTATGTTACAAAACTTCTTAAACCAAAACTTTCAAGAGTTATTGGGAGTCTGTACTATTGAAAGAAGAGGGAAAAAGATGAAGTTAGCATAAGCTTGGAGTCAGCAAAGGTGGTAGCTATAAGGAAGCTTTCATTTCTTAGCAAAATTTTGAAAATTATTCAAGATTTCCCAAGGGTAACATGTTCAAAATGCATTTTTTGTTGTTTTCAAGCCATGAATACATTGTTCTCAGGGCTAGTAGGCAATAAATTGACCCATGGTTCATATGCCTCCTGGAATATCTGGAAAGTCTTGGAACTTTATTTGAAATTTTCCAGGACTGGAAAGTCTTGCAAAAAGACTACAGATCCTGGAAAGTCCTGGAAATCTGCCTAACTCAAGCTAGTTTTCAGAATTTACATTATAAGAAATGTTGTAGACTGTAAGGAGAATTGAATTGGAAATCTTGGGAATGATTGGGGTTAAGATGAAACTTGGTGTCCTGGAAAAATCAATCTGAGTTGTAAAAAAGTCCTGGTAAAGTCTTTGAAATTGGTTTCTGAAAAAAGGTTTAAACCCTGTTAACGTTCTGTTTGACAATTTTAAGAGAAATTGGATGTTAGACTCAGGGAATTCATTGTATTCTTGACAACCTATTTACAGTGCTTTCCATTCATTCATTCCTTCATTCAATTGTGTGTTTAAATATATCCAGACACAGGCCAGAGCACCTAATGTATTGCATCCCATCCTACTGTCACCCAGGGGGATTATGGGATGTTATGCTGGAGGTATATCATGGGCTGTAAATCTAAATAGATTTCTACAGCCATTTTGATTGGAAAATTGTAAGGTAAGAGAAACTTTTACTGATAAATGACTTATACAATACAGAGATCTTGTTTTCAGATTGTGTAATGTTACAAAGTGTACCTGCTGATCTATGGCAAAATTCAATGTGAAAGACAATATCACAGCCCTAAAACAACTAGTTTTTTCATTGATAGTACAAACCTTGCTCTACTTAAGACAAACAAAGGGAGTTTTTTTGCAGCTAAAATGCTCTTGCCTCATTTTTGCATTTTCAAGCAGTAGTTTTGGCATCTCACAAATCTTGCATTGTACCCTGTGCCATCCCTGAAGTAAAGGCTCTGCCCCCTTTGGCAATCTGAATGGCTAGTTAGCTAGTTGTATGTGCAATTACACATTACATTTACCCTTTTATGCTCTCAGTATTCTTTAATGATATCACTCTAAGAAAAGCATCAGATAATCATAACTGCTAAAACATGGCAGTATACCAACATTCATGTTTAGACAAAAACTTACATGTGCCGAATGCTCCTTCTTTGCAGATGATACATGGACGCAACATAGAAGAGAAAAACAAATCATACATTAAAAATTTTATAAACTTAAAGCTTTGCATGTCATATACATTTAAATTACTATTGTGGCAGGTACTATGTCATATTAAAAGCTTTGGAGATTATTGTACAATGTGTTTCAACAGAAAAATTATATAAATACTGATTTTATGAAAAAGTGAACTTTTCCTTAAAGCTTTAGATGTCATATACATTTAAATTACTACTGTGGCAGGCACTATGTCGTATTTAAAACTTTGGAGGTTATTGTGCAATGTGTTTTAACACAAAAAATTATATAAATACTGATTTTTTTGAAAAAAGTGAATGTTTCCATTATTTTAAATACTTGTGATAATTGTTCTGTAAAACTTTTCACTCTAAGAAATGGCAAAAAGAGATCTTCTAGAAAATCTGACAACATTTTTAGCAGAAGTGTAAAGAGATCAGAGAAGAATATCAAGGAGTGTCCAGGCTTGTGGCATGGGAGGCATCTGGATTTGGTACACAGGCATTCACAGAGGTAGTGCTCAAACAGCCTTGTCTTCCCAAGCTTGTCTGAAGTACTCTCAAAATTTTGAAATTCTTGGCACACAGGCATACACAGAGGTAGTGCTCAAACAGCCTTGTCTTCCCAAGTTGGTCTGGAGTTCTCTCAAAATTTTGAAATTCTTCAGTTACAGAGTGCAATTTCCTGTATTTTGGAGCAGAAACTAATATGATTCATTTCCACTAAAATATCATTTCTGTAGATAACTGATCATGATTTGACGCATTAATCAACAAACAAATCAGTTTTCTAATGCAAATACATAATCTTTTACCTATTCAGTCAAGTTCAAATATATTTTATGTTTGAGAAAACACCTGAGGAAGATATGGGATTGTAACATACATTAGTGTAGCAAAGTTTTCTTCACAGCCAGTTAGTTTGTTTGGTGCCTGGCCCTGAGTGAAATTCTTGAATATGAATCAACACATAATCTTTGACTTAATCCTTTAACTCCCATAAGTGATCAAGACAGAATTTCTCCTTACAATATTGATACAATATCAAGCAGTCAAGTGATGAGAATGATGAAAAATATCAATCAGGAGATCAGTATGTGATTCAATACCAAATTCTCTAGAATTAGGAGATGAGATTTTGGGAGCAAAAGGGTTGAGACAGTTCTCTGAGCTGAAATTATCTAAAATGTGAAGTAGACAGTACGGAGAATATGATGTATATATCTTGGCAGTGAAAGGGTAAAAAAGAACTAATGGTTTTACTTAAATGTCAAGTATTAACCCACAAAATTAGGGGTTTTTACTCAGTAACAGAAAATGAAAACAAACCACTGCTATGTATCACATTTGCTCAAAATTTACTATAAGTGGCACAAAGACTGAGGCTCTGAACCAAAGCACAGAATGATGGAGTATTTGTTCTTGATTATTCTATGGTACAGTTTATGTTCTTGCCATTTTGTAGTCACTTGGGCACTGACATTGTACATGTACATAGCTTATGTTAGAAAACATAGGTTCTCTTATTTGTAATGTGTTCATTTGTTTAGAAACTGTAAGAAAGAAAACTGCAACAACAACTGTTCAAGGCCATACTGTGCAATTTCAGAAAAAAGGCTTTACTTGTATTCATTATTCATTTTATTTTTTGTACTAGTACTCTTTTTTTCACATGTTGCAAAACTTTTGCATTTTACAGTTTTATTCTGTATTAGCTGTAAAATATCCCAAAAGTTTAAAACGTACAGCTAAACAATGTTACAGTAGCTAAATGTATCTTACATACACACTGCAAAACTACAAACTCTGAAATTTGCCTTAACCAGTTGTTTTGGTATATTTTTTTGGTGAAGTTTTGTTTTTCATTCACAAATTCTTATTTTGTTACTGTTTTTAGAAAGTTTTGAAATATATTTTGGATCTATTAAGTTAACATGCATTGTTTACCACTTTTCCCATGGTGAAAGCTCTTTGGTGGTTGTAATTTCTATATCATTTTCTTTTCTTTTAATTATTTTTTTATCATACAGACATTATACAGTGTAAAATATTTGCCTTTGCTTATTTTTTGACCCCTCTGTACATTTCAAAAGTTTTTGATTAAGATTCCCAAGCAAATGTATAGTGTAAATTAAGAATCAATATATATTATGACTTGTAATATATTACAGTGTGTGACATCACAGAGTGAACTGTTTGCCTGGTAGCTTCTATCTAAGAACAAATATATTTTTATTCAGCATGTAAAATACTATACACTTAATGTATGGTCCCAAAGGAAACTGTTAGTTTTGTTTTCCTAAGAGTCCTGGTGTTTCCTGAGACAAAGTCGAGGGAAAACAAAACTAACTAGTTTCCTGAGGGACCTTACATGAAGTGCATTGTTATATATTTAGACTTTCCTTAAACAGTCATGTGCTGTTGTATTCAGTGCACGGGCAACAAGTGCGCAATTGTATTCCAGTCAGGATGTTTGAATGTGATCAGTGGCACGTTACCTAGAATCAACCAATCACAGTGCTCGTTTTGTTGAGTGAAAATCCAGGTATATAACAAATATATTTATTTCTTCTACCCTCTGCAATTTTTTTTATCCACCTGCATGCTATTCGTCAAGCAATGTAAAGTGGATGTGGCATGTTCAAAGGGCACGACAAGAATGAAACAGCTGTTGATGTATATTTTTAAGTAGCCAATGCTAAAGAAGTCCATTGGTGGTGAGATTGAAACAATGGAGGAAGAAGCACTGTGATGAATTTTTCTCTTGAAACTAGTTGATTCTGTTAAACTTGATTCTAAAAAAGAAAAGAAAAGTAATCAATGGTTTTTGTACCTCCCTTCCCCCCCTAGCCCCCCTTAGAATTCAAGAGGTCCTCTATGGTAATCCACTTACATATGTGACCCATTCAAGCATCGGCTTGAGTTTAGGGCAAAGGGACTACTCACCATACCCTCCAGAACTCACTTACCCTACCCTGTGGGTGCGCTCTCACCCCCATGGATTGTGGGTAGTTATTGGTCAAAGTATTTCAAGATGGCGGACGTGAATGCGGTGAACCGGCGTCTTTTGGAGATTTCTATATGTGCTCTGCTGCGAGAACAAGGATTTTCATCAGCTTCTAAGATAGCTTTAGAGACCCTTACTGAAATGCTTCAAAGCTGTGAGTGATCAACCATTCCATTTTTTTGTTTTGATTTGGTTACAAGTTTCTGAATCGAACACTGCTTTGAAAGAGATCCTCCTCATAAGAGGTCTTGGGTTTGTCCTTTGAGGTGTTTTTCAGAGGAAACGTAGAAATTTTGCCGATATACTATTCTGGGTTTTTTAAATATCGCCTTCCATTTCGATCAATTGATCCTTCGATTGATCGATCCGTGGAGACATCCGAAGAAAGTTAGAAAACGCATCTCCTGCGATAATGTTTTGCGTCTGATCGCCCTGATCACAATTGTATTTGTTTTGTGTTACACTCTACTTTAGACCTGGGTGAGCTTGGACACAGTTGCAAGCTGAGCTGCGAACTTTCCGCCCGAGTTAAGCCGACTCTAAGTGACGTAAAAGTGGCTCTGATTGATATGGGTATGTATTACAGCTACCATTCCCCAAAATGCCGGGAACTTGACATTATCCCGAGATCAGAGATAAGTGTTCCAATTCTAGCAACTGAAAGTACATGTAGTTTGTTGAAATCACAAAGATCCATCAATTTTTCAATTGAGGAGCTGTAAGGAATAAAGCTTTCACAAGCAGTACCCGGCAGACTATCTTAACTCTTTACACCCAACAGTATCACCCTTGAATCAAGCAGTAAGGTCATAAGAATAATGGGAAAGCTTGCATACTCAAGAAGCTCTTGATTGTTAGACAAACTCTCCTTGTAAGTATCTTAGGAAATGTACAGAGCACAGTATGGAGAACTTGCATGCTGATGTCAGGGTGTAAAGGGTTAAATCACGTTGAGCATTTTCCCCTGTCAGTTTTCAATTACCTATAGGCTCTAATCTTAAACTTTTTTGTCAACCTTTACTGAGACCAGTATAAGCTTGCTGACATTGTTTGAGTAGAATGCAGGAGATTCTATCCCTTGTCTGAAAGCAGGATATTACTTGAAGGAGCAGATCAAATGAGAGGAAAGCTGAAGCTTACCAAAAACCTTTCAAAGATTTCAAACATTCTCTGGAGGGTTTCAACAAAGGTTGCCTTCATTTACTAAATTGCAGTTTTTGGGATGAAACCTAGGTTCATTTAGTCCAATAGCACTAATTGCAAATAAATATAACTGTGACATGAATGAAAACTAAAGCAAGTTGTGGTAGATGTGTTGTCCATGGGATTTGTGTGTCTACAGTTTTTCCTATGATCTCTGTGTAGCATATATACAAAGCTGTGCTTGTCAACAAATTACTGGATGCCTGAGGGCTCTTGACTCAGAGGTGCAGGGTGCATAGCTTTCATTTAGGGAAAGCTAGGCAATTTCTCAAATATATAAGTTAGTTGCCCTTGGCACAGTCCTGTGTCATCCAAAGTTATGTCATTTCATACATGCTACAGGCTGAAGATGACAGACTATGTACACTCTGCTGGTTATTGTGCACATACACGTACATGTAGAGATATTGTATCTTGATTTACTATAATTTTCTTTCATACAGGTGCAGACCTTGATTCTTTACCACTATATGGAAAACGGACCAATCGAACTCATGTAAACAACCGTAAGTTGAGTGCAGTAGTTCTAAAATATTGTTTTGTTTATTATGCATTATACAGTTACAGGTATCTCACTAGTATCTCAGCATGTGAATTAATCTTTCTCTAGGTCATATATGAATTATAAAAGCTCAGTCTTTTCCTTCTCTTGATAAACATAGTGAAGATCTCTTATTGACACCATTAAACAGCATTGGAAATATTTTTGCTTTCTTTATTTTCTTTGCACATATATTTGTAGCTCTGAAGTCTCGCATAACACCAACACCCAAAGCTTTAGCAGCAGGCACTAAACAGACACGGCCAGCTCATATTCCTGCACATCTTCCACCACTTCCAGATCCTCATTCCTACATCAAGACACCAGTAAGTTTTAATTTCAGTTAAGGAAGTGTGAGATAAGGTTTATCTGATAAGTGTGGGGTA